CTACTCCTCGCCTGTAGATCTTTGCCTGACTGGCACAGAAACCTCTGGCCCTGAGTGACACATGAGTTTCCTCTTCCTTTTGGTGCTGAGATTCCACATTTCTGCAGCTGAACCCATTCAATTTAATAGTGACACTAGCCAATCCCCTGGTGTATAGACTAACAAACCCTACTCACAAGTTCTCACTTATCAATGTAGCAAACTCAATCAAGAGCTAGGAAAACCATTTTCAGCAACAAACCCTTGACATCACAATCAGGCATCAGCAATAACCACTATTCGTTGGTCAGTTCACTGTGATGTCTTGTGTGCTGCTGTGATGTTGGAAACTACGTCAGTAGTACTTGACAGGATCATCCAAGGTAGACAGATTTCAGGTGAGCTTCTAGACTAAGCCAGACCAAGATACAGGACTGGCCAACTACTTCTAAAACCACAGGCCTTCAAAACTGCTAAAATAATGAAAGAACATTGTTTGATACAGTGCCAAAAGATGGCCCCTAACACAAACTAGAGTCAGGTACTGACTCAGGTAGTCTAAAGCTGTTATCCAAAGAAACACCTTCATTTGTTGGCATAGTAAGATTCAAAAAAAGGAGAAGCAGCTGAAAACATTTATTAATAACTGAAGCATGGAATGTATAAACCAGGAAGCTAGAACAACTAGAATTTGTAAAAACAAAAATGGAAAAATCGACACTGTAAACATTAGTGAGCTGAGATACTCTGGGACTTATCATTTTGAATTATATAATCTATTATGCCAGGATTGAAAAAACTGAAGTCACACTGAACCTCAAAAAAGCATTTCTAAGGGAGCTCTGGTGGCCTAGTGGCAAGAAGCCACGCTACTATCCTGAAGATGCATGGTTCGAATCCACCAGATGCTCTACTGGAGGAGGAGGGGCAATCTCCTCCAGTACCAGTTGGATCTAATTTGACAGCACACAACAATAACCTCAATAACAACAACAACACAAAACAAAACAAACACATTTCTTCAAGATCTATCCTGTAGTACACTGCTGTGAGTGATAGAATCCACATATATGCAAGGAAGACCCATTACTACCACCATTATTCAAATACGTATCCCAACCACAAAAGCTAACAATGAGGAAATTGAGGATTTCTACCGACTTATACATTTTAAAACTTATCAAATATGCAATCAAGATGCAGCCATGATAATTGGTGACTGGAATGGAAAAAAGTTGGAAAAAAGAAGGAATGTTAGTCAGAAAATATGACTTTTGTGCCAGAAGTGAGGCTGAAGATTGTATGACAAAATTTCGTACAATAGTTTGTAGTGGACATAGCTGAGTCAGAGACAATGAGGTTGCCTTAAGATAGAGCAGGGTTCAGAACTGTTGTACATAGGGTTGCTAGGAGTTGTAAGCAACATGATGGCATATAACAACAACTATGGTTTATTCATCACAAACACATTTTTAAAAATAATAAAAATGGTGACTATATACATGGACCTCACCTGATAGATGACAAAGGAATCAGATTTACTACATCAATGAAAAGAGAGGGTGGAGAAGCGCAATATCAGCACTCAGAACAAAGCCAGGGCTGACTGTGGAACAGACTATCTATCCACTACTCATCCAAAGTTCAAATAAAAGTTGAAGAAAATTAAAAAATGTCCACAAGAACCAAGTGTAATTCTTGAGTCTATCCCAACTTAACCATCTCAAGAGTAGATTTGGATGCATTGAATACTTAATAGCCAAAGAGCAGAGAACGTGAAGGATGACATAAAAGCCATTTTTTAAATTAAATTTTATTAGTTTTAATGAACATTTACAGGGATTTTGGGTTTTCATTCCTTCATTACTGCACCATTCTCTCTACCCTCCTCCCCAGTTTTTTCTTCTTCCCCCGCCATCCGAATGTCTGTTTTAATTGTCCAATTGCCACAGTGCTTGTCAAAGTCAGTTCTGATTAATCTCCATAAAAGCCATTTTCAGCAACAAACCCTTGACATCACAATCAGGCATCAGCAATAACCACTATTCATTGGTCAGTTCACTGTGATGTCTTGTGTGCTGCTGTGATGTTGGAAACTACATCAGTAGTACTTGACAGAATCATCCAAGGTGGACAGATTTCAGGTGAGCTCACCAGTCTAAGCCAAGGAATTTGGAAGACCTGGCCAGTTGACCAGAAGAGATCCATATATGTTCCCATTCCAAAAAAAGATGACAACAAAGTGGAAACTGTCAAACAGAAGAGACTTTTAATATTGTACTAGAAGAGGAGCTGAACAGAAGATTTCAAAGGGCACCATGGGGAAGACAAAGCAAAGTATTATAATGAAATATGCACAGAGCTGGAGTCAGAAAATCAAAAGGAACGAACTTGCTCAGCATTTCTTAAGCTGAAGGAAATTGAAGAACAAATTTAAGCCTTAAATTGCAATATTTAATGATGCTTTATGAAATTATCCAGGAAGTATTAAAAGAATATGGAAGAAGTATACACAGTCACTATCTCAAAAGGAATTGGCTGACACAGAATAATTCAATGAAACAATGTATGAGCAAGACCCTGTGATGATGAAGAAGTTCAACCTGTTCTGAAAGAATTAGTAAAAAACAAGGCTCCAGGAATTGATGGCACACCAATTGACATATTTCAATGAACAGACATTACCCTGGATACACTTACTAAGTTGTGCCAAGAAATCTGAAGGCCAACCACCTGGCCCCTGGAAGAGATCTCTATTTGTTCCCATCCCCCCCACCAAAGAAAAGGTGACCTGACAAGAATGTGGAAATTATTGAACAGTATCATTAATGTAACAGGCAAAAAAGGATTATGTTGAAAATTATCCAAAAACTACTCGAACAGCACATCAACAGAGAACTGCCAGATGTGCAGCCTGGGTTTAGAAGAGGCAGTGGTACTAGGGATATTATAGCTTGTTAGATGGATCTTGGTGGAAAGCAAGGAAGTACCAGACAAATGTCACCTGTATTTCATTGACTGTGTGGATCACAACAAATTGTGGCTAACTCAGAAGAATGGGAATCCCAGACATCTTATTGTGCTTATATGAAACCTATACTTGGACCAGGAGATAGTCATCAGAACAGAGCAAGGAAACACTGCATAGTTAAAAATCAGAAAGGGTGTGTGCCAGAGATGTGTCCTATATCCATATCTTTTCAATCTATATGCAGAACAGATCATCCCCGAGGCTGGGGCCATATGAGGAGGAACATGGCATCAGGACTGGAGGAAGACTCATCAGCAATCTGCATTATGAAGATGACACATCGTTGCTTGCTGAAACTGAGGAGGCCTTGAAGTGCCTGCTGCAGAAGGTCAAAGATTGCAGCCTTCAATATGAATTGAAGCTCATCATCAAGAAAACAAAGATTCTCACCACTGGGCCTATAGCCAGCATTACGATAAATACTGAAGAGCTTGAGACTGTTAATAGCTTTAGTTTGGCTGGCTCTATAATCAACACTCTTGGTATCAGCAGCCAGGAAACCAAGAGACAAATTGCATTGGGAAAGTCTGCTGTCAGGGACTCTCTATATTGAAGAGCAATGATGTCAGTCTGGAGACTAAGGTGCGCCATGATCTTCACAATTACTTGTTATGCATCAGACAGCTGGACAATGACTAAGGGATGACAGAAAGATACCTTTGTGCTGCCATGCTGGAGAAGAGTATTGAATATATCACGGATTGCTAAGGGAACAAAGAGGTTCATCCAAAAGAAGGTGAAACCAGGATGCTTGTTGGAGGCAAGGATTCTGAGGCTTTGTCTGACATACTTTGGGTATATTACAAGGAGGGACCAGTCATTGGAGAAGGACATTAAGCTTGGGAGGGTAGAGAGTGCAAGAGAGAAAGGCCCTCGATGAGATGGATTGATTCAGTGACTGGGGTAATGTGGGTAGGTGTGTCAGAGACAATAAGTTTGTCACAGGATAGAACAGGTTTTAGGGCTAGTGTACATAGGGTCTCTATGAGTCACAAGTGACTTTGACACCACATAACAACAACATCATTAATATCACATGTAAATAAAAACCTGTTGAACATAATTTTTCAATGGCTGGAAAAAATATATTAACCTCTACTGGGCTTCTGAGGCTATAAATTGCATGGGAGGAGATTACATATCTTTCTCCTGGGGAGCCACTGATGAGTTATAACTGCCTGTGAGGCTCAAATATTGGGCTATCTACGACTCTGCAGATAAGGCACTAGATAGTACAGCCAGAGTGCTCCTTGGAGACAAAGATGGTGAAGCTTTGTTTTTTCACTTTTTATTTCTTTTTTACTTTGGACATGAAGCTAGGTGAGACTCTTCTTCGGAAAGGGCCATCATCCTTAGAAAGATGGAAGGTTAGTGAAGGAGAGGAAGGCTCTCAATGAGATAGACTTACACAGTGACTTTAGCAATGGACTTTAGTGTGTCAGAAATGATGAGAATGGCACAGAAGAGGGCAGGGTTCACTAACAGGTCTGTTGAAATATATTATCAACAAAAGGGCACATGTGCAAAATGAAGCACAAAATCAAGAAAAAGTAACTGTGACTCAGTAACAACACTAAAAGGGTGAAAGTGCACATTTGAAGAGTAACTTCTTTCCTGGCATTAAAGATCCCAAGATACCTACCTCCAAGTTGCATTTCTTTCTCTGTATACAAAAGTATTTACCTACAACATGGAAATTTGTAACACACTCCTGAAAAAACCAGGAAGCTACTGATGTCAGTAGTAGTTAGAAGAAACTCTGAGCAAGAGTTAGGTTATGAAATACTTTGATTTTACTTTGACCCAAGCAGGAAGCAAATATAGAAAATTCACCAGGAATTAAGAGGTGTGATAGCAATGAGAGTCTTAAATTTTTTTTCCAGACTCCTGGAAATCAAAACCTGACTCCTCAAAGGCCATTACCTCCTCCTGTGGCCCCAAGGGTCACCTTTTCTGGCCAGTGCCCTCCCTGGGACCTGCCTCTGCTTACCAACGCCGTTGGAATTCATGCAACTTCTCCTCTGTGATCGCTATAGTCGCCTTTCTCTTCATAAAGCCGAGTAACTCCCGGATCTCCTTCTCGAAGGAGGCTAGAAGCGGATTTTTAGCGTCCAGGGGCCCATAAAACACAGCGAGGGGTAACGTGTCCTGGGAGCAGGCGGAGGGAGGCAGCCTTGGACTGTTACTTAACACCTCTACTCCAGAGCTCGTCTTTGACTGCCTGGGCGACTTTGAGACCCGGGTCAAGGTGGACATCGGAGTTGACGGTGGTACTGACGGCAACGGCGACGTGGGAGAAACATTGGCTATATGGACGGAGGAGGCGCGCTGCGCAGCCATATTGACACGACCTTCCTGGAGTCTGAGTTGCACGCGGTTGCCTAGCAACGGTCTCCCGGCAACCAGGCATCTGGCGAGTTTCCCGGGAAGCACAGCGGCCCCTGGAGGCCAAAGAAGGAATGAAGCCGGCTCGAAAGAGAAAGAAGTCTTTGGGAGTTGTTTTTTGGTTGGTTTTTTTGTTTGTTTGTTTTGTTTTTTTAATTTAGGTTGTTTATTTTTCATTTCAATGAACATCTACAGAAATTTTGGAATTCCATTCATTCATTGTTGCACCCTTCTCCCCGCACAAACCCCTCCCCCCCATTTGCTCCTCTCCTTGAAAAGCAAAAGAAAAACTCCCTCATTGGTACACAATCCCCCCCCCGCACCTCCCCAAACCCCACCCCCTACCCCCAAATATAATCCACTCTGCAACCCTCATTGCATACTCCTACGATAAAAATAATGCCCTAAAATATAATACTTTTAGACTATTCTCTCCCCCATAGACTTCAACGCCGTAAACATATTTCATCCAGTTTTTCTCAGTCTTACCCCCACCCCAATGCCAGCCTCATGGGCTTTTGCCCACTGGCATAGTTTTATGAGGGAGCTCTGATGGTCTAGTGATAAGAAGCTGAGCTGCAATTTCAAAGACACTCAGTGCGAATCCATCAGCTCCTCTGTAATAAAAGAATAGGCAATTTCCTACCTTGCAATTTACTGCATCTGAAAACCTGCTGGAGGGTCAGACATGGGTCAGTTCCGAATCAACAGCACGCAGCAGCAGCATGGCTATATGAGATCAGAAGAGAAAGAAGGTTCTGGACAGAAATGCATCAAACGTTGTTCTTGTAATGTGCCACTGAATCTATTACGATTCATAGCAACCCTATGAATAACAGATCAAAATCTTGTCCTACCCCGAACCATTCTCGCCTTCTCCAACATAACTCTAACCCAAAGTATTAATCCACCATTTTTTAAATTTTATTTTATACTGGTTTATTTACAAAGTGCAAATACAATGGTTTTCACAGCAGATTTTTCCTATTTCCTTCACACCACACCTCCACCCATCAAATTCTGCAACCCTATGATTATCCACCTCTTCATCCTCACCCTCCTGCTCTCCCCTCCCCTCTTGATCTTCACACTCATTCTGTAATAATGGTCTTAGACCGTATTTGTCCTTATGGGGCTGAGTTAGTTCCCTTAGCATAATGCTCTCCAGTCTCTCCCACGTTAGGTAGTAATTCACAAGGTCTTGACCCTGCGTGCTGCGTAGTTTTCCATTGTGTGAATGTGCCATAATTTCTCAGTCTATTTGATTGTGGTTGGACATCTGGACTGTTTCTATATTCTTGGGATGGTGAATAACGCTGTTGTGAGCATTGGTATACAAGAATCCAAGAATACAAGAGTTTCCTCTCTTTCTCTGACCATCTTTCCCAACATAATGCCCTTTTCCAAGGACTGGCGCTTCCAGACCACACACCCAAAGTATGTGAGATGAAGTTTCACTATCCTTGCCCCTAAGAAGCACTCCAGTTGTGCTGATTCCAAGAAAGATTTGTTTGTTCTTTTGGCAGTCCTTGGCATATTCAATACTCTTCTCAAGCACCACACTTTAAGGGCATCAATTCTTCTTTAGCCTGTTTTTATTTGTTGTCCAACTTTCAAATGCATAAGAAGCAATTGAAAATACCATGGCTTGCAATAGGCACACCTTAGTCTTTAACATGATATCCTTGCTCTTTAGAATATTGAAGAGGACCTAGAACAGCAGATTATCCCAATACAGCATGTCAGCAACTGTTAGAGTCAACAATTTACCTTTTGCCAACAGTTTTCCTTAAAAAATTCAATGCCACACAACTCCAGATTATTTTTCTAATTGGGCCACTTAGTAACAAGAGTGATGAGGATGATTATGATTATTACCAGTATGTGCCTGGCATTGTAATAAGCATTTGAAACGTAAAATCTTTGTCTCATAATTTTCCCAACAACTTGATACTGAAGAATGCGAATTGTGGAGTATACCTCTACTCTACAATTTAAGGAACCAGAGTGTAGGAAGGTTAAGTTATTTGACCAAGATCAGTGTCTTCATCTTTGATTATACAGTTTGTGATCAAAATGAACAGGTTGTGGTAAGGAATTAAACTGCCAATTCAGAGTCATGAGATTTAAATCTGCCAGCAGCTCTACAAGACAGATAGGTAATCTGCTCCCATGCAATGAACTGCTGCTCAAAATCCACTGGAGGGTCAACTATGAGTCAGTTCAGACTCAGCAGATGGTATCTAACAACAACGGAATAGAAACTGGTAAGCAATTTAAAATGAGTGCTGCAGGTGGGGCCATGTGATCAGAATTACAGTCTAACAGGGAACACAGGCAATGCACAAGGAATATAATTGACAAGCAATTTAAGAATCAATTTGCTGTAAGTGCTCTATTCGCTTCCTTCTGATTATACTTGGGTCTCTAATTGTGGGAAGAATGCATGTGCCTAATAGTTATGATAACATTATATTTATTCATTTGCTTTGCAGCCTAATTATAACCTTATTCCAAATTAATGAACATTTCATTCAATCTTAATGGACTTTAAAACATCCTAATGGCTTAAAATGTTAACTCCCAAATATGTCTTCATTTTAAACCAGGATTTTAGGAGATTCTGTTTCTAAAGAGGAAACCATGCTTTCAGGTGAAGTACTTGTGAGCAAAGGAAGTTGGTCTGTTTTTGCATATTTTGGGCAACAGTGCAAGTCTAATTTATTCATTTAAAGTAATGGGAACTCTGTCTTATAAATGCAATGCAAAAAATGATTTTATAAGAGAAAAACCAGAAAAATTTGATGGCTTAGAAAAACAGATCTTCAAATGTTGAAAACTGTTACCAGTTCTATCACACTTAAATATAAATAAAGACAGTGAACTTAACACTTCATGAGTCCAATTTCTACTTTAAGATTAAGAAACTACTGGACCACAATCTGATTTCTTTCAGATGAGACCTAATTTCTTGCAGACTCTGTGGGCCTGTACTAATTTGTGAGGTTGGCCTAATATATTATGGGTAATGTTTGCTGTAGAAGGTCAAGGGCTGTAGTCTTCAATATGGATTGAAGTTCAATATCAAGAAGACAAAGATTCTCACCACTGTGGCAATTAGTAAAACCATAATAGATGGAGAAAAGATTGAGGTTTTTAACAATTTCAGCTTGCTCGGTTTCACAATTAACATTCTTGGAATCAAAAAGAAATCAAAAGACAAATTGCTCTGGGAAAGGCAGCTATCCGAGACCTCTCCAAAATTCTGAATTTCAGTCTGAAGATTAGGTGCACCTGATCCAGGCCATGGTCTTTGCAATTACTTGTTATTTACTAGAGAGCTGGACAGTGACTAAGGTTGAAGAAGAATTTATGCCTTTGAGTTGTTGTACTGGAGAAGAGTATTGAACATTCCATGGACTGCCAAGAGAATAAGCAAGTGTGTCCTGGAGAGGGTGAAACTAAATTTCTCCTTGAAGGCAAGGATTATGAAGCTCCATCTCATTCTTTGAGAAGTCATCTCATTCTTTGAAGTAATTCTTTGAGCATGTGGCCAGGAGGGACAGTTCTTAGAGAAGGATGTCATACTTGGAGGGGTAGAAGGACAGCACAGGAAAAGAAGACCCTGGATGATATGGATTGACACAGTAACTGGAGTAATGGGGGGTGGGGGTGGGTAGGGCATCAGAGAGGGTCAGACTGGCTCAGGATAGAGCAGAGTTCAGAGCTACTGTCCATAGGGTCACTGTGACTCACAGGCAACTTAATGGCACATAACAATAACTGGACTCGACCCTCTATGAGATGGATCGATTCAGTGACTGGGGTAATCAGGATGGGTGTGTCAGAGGCAGTGCGGTTGGCGCAGGATAGAGCAGGGTTTAGGGCTGTTGTGCATAGGGTCGCTATGAGTCGGAAACGACTCGACGGCACATAACAACAACAACAACAATGTACTTTTAAGGAAGATAACAGTGATTTTGTTTATGAATCAGCAATGAACTGCTCCCTTGATGCGGGGCATCAGTTCTCCAGTCAGAATATAGATCTCAGCCTTTAATCAATCATTGCATCTCATCTTCAAGTGAGCAATGAAATATTTTTCCAGAATTTTAAAGAATTGAGAACTAAAAAGAGCCATTCATTAGTGAAGCATTTCCAGGAAATATTGACAACAAAAAGTCAGCTTGGTAAATTCTCTCTCTCTGTCTTCCCTTTGTTCCCATGTACCTAGCTGACTTGTCCACTTCAGATCAAAAGCTGGTGTAATTTGCCACTGAGTGGTATCTTTGATATTGATGGAAATGAAACATTGGGATGAAAATTATTAGAAAACAATAAAACAAAAGCAGGACAGATGAAGTTTTTATTCCCTTATCTTATCTGGCTGTTCCCACAAAACCTAACTTTCCTGTGGTACAGACACTTACATTTCAAAGTCAGTGCTTAAAGAAAATGTGACAAATTAAATGCAAATGTTTAAATTATGAAACATTGCATCTTAGTCATTTTCCCTCTTGCACATACTGAAGATAGCAATGCTTGACTTTCAGTGATTTTTGGAAGCTGTGTGAATGTTTAAAGGAGTGCTATACTCTGAATCATCGCCAGGATAAAATGAAAGTTTCCATATTTTTCAGTTTAAATTATATTGAAGACATTTTTTTTTAAAAAAAGTCATTTTAGAAGGCGCTATCTTCCTTGCAGTGAGATGCAGCTATTATCTTTCCTGATTGTTTTGCTTTATTCCTTTCACTAGAGTGAAAGAATAGAGCTCTGCAACAATTGTGTCTGACAGGGCTAAATAATGCAAATAGCTTCCTCATAAATAATGTAAATTACTGTTTCCTCATAATTAATGTCTTTGAAGGCAGCAGGGATGTTTTTTGCCCACTGAAGAGTCTTTATCATCTAAAATTGCTGTCAAGAAAAAATAAGTAAGGTTAATGTACCTT